AAATATGCCTCATCCAAACATCTTGGTCAAATTTAATGTAGGAAGTTCCTTTTGTACCTGCCTAACATTGCTCCTTGCAGCCATAACTGAATACAATATTCTTGGATCCCTGTTCTGAATTATTGCAGTAGTCTACGATACTAGAAAGCTCGTCAGATCCTACCCTGAAGGTGTGGTAGCCCTTTTCCACCAAAGATGCTTTAGTTTGCTAGGAAATTAATTAAAGTGATAGGTATGAAGTTTAATTAATACTTTCTGGAGTTTTCCTGGAGCTAAGCTGGAAAGGTGAAAGAATCTCTCCTGGGAGCAATGGATGCCAGAAAATGGTGCTCTGCTCAGTGCAGCAACCTCAGTCCTTCATCCTTGTTTCCCGTTTTATCCTTTGCTTCCATGCATGCAGCAGCAGCACACGTAAGCTAATGACTCTTCCCTCCCCCTCGATCCTGGAACAAGCCACAGCCCACTAGCAAAACCACTAAAGAGCACACATAATTCTCTCCCTTGGGAGATGAGAGAATGAACTGCACATGGTCTAAGTCATTCCTAAAGCTTAGTGCACAACTGGAGGAACATATGCCAAAGGGTGAGCTTTAGCTAAGAGCCTGCACAGCAAAGCCTGCCGAGACCAGGCAGGTTTTACTGTCCCTGCCAGAAAGCACGGAACAGGATCTTCTGCGGTGAGGAACCACCTCACCAAAAGAGATTTTGGTTTGCAGAGGATCAGTCTGCCTCATTCACAAAACACCTGCTCTGAAAGTTATTCATATGAACTGCTCTTAAGGCAGAGAAGGATTTAGTGTTCGTATTAAACACACGATGTACATCCACTTATTGGCATCTCACATAGGCTAAGGCCAGTCTGGAAAACGGGAATGCAGAACGTGGAGTCGACAGTTTTTCAAGGACGACTTAGACGATCGGTTCCTATTAGAACTAACCAAATGTAAAGCTCCAGAGCTCAAATAAGCTTTAAAAAAACTCAGTCTAAAACTCTCCCAAAGTAAACAGCTTGAGTCCTACTTAACCGAGGAAGCCAGAAAGCTGAAATATGCCACTGTATCCGACTGGAGATCGTTTTGCAAATTGCCTGAGTGTAGAACAAGGGTCAGTAAGAACGCACAGGCCCTGAAAAGAGTGAAGTGCACCCCAACAAAGGCAGCAGACAGCACACACCATTGCTGAGCCTCTCATGGCGTTGAGCTGTGGACCTTCAGAGAAAATTTAAGAGCTCAGCTCCATAAAGGGCTCCTCACGAGCCTTGGAGAGCGACTCCTGTGCAACCATTTGTGAGCAGCAGAATGTGTTTCTCCTGGTAGGGCTCAGGGAACGTTTCTGACACGCTGTAATTGCTAACATGCTCATTGAGGAGGGGGGCAAGGACAGGAGAAGGGTGATTAAAGGGAAAAATCTGTTTTCAGCACTGTGCTCCTTTTCGAATTATGTTCTCTTACATGGCTCCAGTTTTAAGCACAATTACCGAGCTTCAGGCTAATGTAATACTGCTGCAAGGACCGCAGTGGAGAGTCTGACTTCATGTGCTATGGCATATATTGTTGGTGGCTCTGTTACTGCATTTTACAAGGTCATTTTTCTTGGTATGGGAACACTGTTTTTCTTGGTGTGCAAGGCCTGCTATGGAAAAATTAGAAGTGAGGGGAATAAACTTCTTGATGAAATATTTTCTCTCAGAATGAAAGGACAGATTTTAAAGCATCGTAAAGTATTACAAATGTCTTCCAAAATTTATGTTCAAGCCTTCCCTTCATTTTAGAACTATGTAAAAAGACAAAAACATACCAAAGCAGCATTTTTCCATCTCTTAATACAACTTCACTTGCTCTTCTTCAGAAGCAAAAGTTTGTACCTCCTTAATTTACAAATATACTCCACAACAGATTCTGGATGCTAATTAAATTAGACCTAGAAATCTCACCAGAAAAAAAACCAAAATCTCCTCCCTCTCCAAATCTCCTTTTCTTTTTCTTTTTTTTTTTTTTCCTTTGGAAGAGACGGAAGAAAGGGAATAAAATCTGATTGAGAAACACAAGGTTGATTCCCTCTCATAACTCAAGACTGTGAGATATTTTACAACTCCAATCTGGATTTCCCATCTTGTGTTAGTTTACACTACCACAACCCAATTCTAACAGCAGGCCCAGCAACCATTTCTGCAGCAGTGAACTGAGGGAGCCTGTGCCTGTATCTCACCCATCCCAAAGAGGACCAGAGGAGTACATTAGGATTTTCTCCTCAGCGCTGCTCCATTGCAACAAGACACAGTGACACAAGACAATCCCAGACATCTGGGATCTCTGGAGACACACACAGAGCGGGGAAGGGCACCAAAAGGAAAAATCAGAGGGAGGAAGAAACGATTTGTTTAATTTTAGGATTGAAAGGATTTTTTTCTGTATTTCTTTCATCTATCAGTCTAATTAATTGCAGGGGTCAACGCGATTGAAAGACCAAAAGAAATCAAAACCTATCCTCCAAAATCCTTCCTTCATTTGAAGGACCAAGGGATGGGAGAAACAGCAGCTCTTCCTCCCTTAATGAATCAGACTTCAAAATGCTTACAGGTCTATATTTTAAACTATTTAAATCTTCAACAATATTTTAAGATTACTAAGGATTCCTCCTGAATCTGTTTTATGTAAAAACGACCCAATTCTGACCACTTCATTTGTGCAAATTGACTGCCTAAGCCCCCCAAAATACCATGTATTGATAATTGAGGGGCTTTTGATACAAATTTGCCATGTCAAAAGACACCTATAAACAGTTGCTGCAAAGATTACTCTTTCATGAGAAGTTACCTAATCACTTCTTCCGATCTTTTCTCTCCACAGACCTACTAAGACAGAAAAAACCTGAGAGAATTCTAAGTGCTTTTGTCAACAAGTCTGGGGTTGTGCAGTTTTGCTTTCCACACTGATTCTCTAGCTTGGAGTGCAGGGCACTAGGATTTTGCGTTTCACTTCAGCATGTGCCACGATACAGCCACAAACCCCCAAATCCCACCAAAATCAGGAGATCCCAGTGCAAACTTGCCATCGAGATCTATACTATGATGCTCTGAATGGAAGTATCTGCCTGTCAGAGTGCAACTTCCTAAAGCAGGTTACAAGATTTTCCAGCTAGTAATAGAATCCATGGAAGTCACGAAACCAAAAAAATTGATAGGCTTCCATCTGTTTAACCGATTGCTCTAATCAATATCCTTTCCCCCTGTAATGTCTTGTACAGACACACTCTCTCAAATGCATAACTGCAGAATCAATTCAGTTGGGAAGTATATAAAAATTTCAATTCTACAAATGGCAAAACACAATGAAAATATGAACTGTTAAAGCTATCACGATGCTTAAAGGCACAGAGTTGATTAAAGTAATCTGTAAAAAAAAATCACTGGACAGAAAAAATTCTTGAAGTCAATAATTAACAGATATTCACGAGACAACCAGCTACAATGACAATAATCCAGGATAATTATCTGAGGATGACTTTCCTCTTGGTTCACCCTAACCTTACAACAGTGCTCTAAATGGAGCTCCTTGGGGAAATGGCATCACCCGGAGTTCCCACCTGCCCAGATGTTTCCCTCATTATGTTACAAGCCTGTCAAGAAAAGGCAAATTCAAGGTTATTCTAATGATAGCAAACACCTCATAAAAAACCTCTCCAAATTTACTTTTCCAAGGAACATCATGTCAAAAGGCATTTCGAGTGCCCATGAGGAAAGAAAGCATCATTTATAAAACATTATGACCAAAAATCTTGCAGATATTAAAAAAAAAAAATCTTGGAATGTCGAGCTGGTGATAAAACTGCGGCTCAAAAGAGAGACAGGTGGGGCCTTACCCAAAGTGCTGAGCACTCCCAAGCAGGACTCCCACCAAGTCCAGCAGGAGGTATTCTGAGTTAAGAAGAACTGACTCCAGTTTGTGACTGGGATGCTGAGTCTGCAGATCTGGGTTCCCTCCTGCAGCTGGTGGGTTCACTTTGTGCAAACAGAGTGACCAGTACAGCCTGGTCTCTCCTTAATTCTCCTTGTGCCTTATGGAAATGTGCCCTGCTGGGACCATGATTCTTTCCAGGATGATAGAGCAGTTTACGTAAATTTATGGTGATAATAATTATACGTTTTCTGTCAACTTGGTGGTTGAGTTTTCTTTAACACTTGGATGCAGGGGAAAAAAAGTTGGTCAGGGCTCATGCAGCTGACGGGAGATTTACAAGCTTTGCCTGGGGAGGTTGATGATTCTGTGGCTTTGATCACTGTCTCCAACCATTACAAATGAATGGCAACGTGTGATACTGAATAAAAAAGTATCACCTGCGAAAATAAGGAAACAGAATAAAAAAGTCCTTTACCTCTGCTGGACATAATACACCGTCGGGTTTCATGGGATCAGAAGACTCAAATGGGCTGGCTAGGTCACAAGCACCTATGACTCTATGTTTCTCAGCTATTTCAAGACTAAATGTCAACCCGTCTCTTGATGCTTTCCAAGGAAAGCCATACGATTTCTTCTGGTATTTCCCATCACCATACACTTGTGTGTTCCCCTCTCGCTCTGGGGAATGCTGTGCCCTCACAAAGAGGTGCCCTGGGTGGGATATGCCTCCATCCCTCGCTTGCCCCAGAAGCGCTCCCCAAGTGTCGTCGTCCCTGCAACCCACCTGTGACCCAGCGGTGACACGCGTAGGAGCCGCCCCGACGCCTCTAGCGCGGCGTCGAACCGCGGCTCGGGGAGCTTTGCCCTCGACAGTGTAAAGGCAAGGAGGGCAGAGGACGCTCAGGGAAAGCCCTGGGGCGGGGGAACCCTGGGGGTCGGGACAGCGCGGCTGGAGGGGGCAGGAGGAGGAGGAGGCGGCAGCGGCCGGGGCAGGTGCACGGCGGCGGCTCCCGACAGCCCGGCCGGCCCCGCGCCCCCCGTCCGCCCCCGACGGCCCCGGGGGATGCGGGTGTGTGTTGGGGGAGGCGGGGCGGCACTCACCTGCCGCTGGCTGTGGTTGCCGGCGCCCGTGGGGGCGTGAGGCTCCCCGCCGCCGCGCAGCACGGTGATGTGCAGGGTGAGCAGGAGCAGCCCCAGCAGCAGCAGCAGCTCGGCCGCCAGCCGCACCATCCTCTTGAGCCGGGCGGCTTTAGGGCCCCGCGGCGGCGGCCGCGGAGGAGGCGGAGGCGGAGGAGGAGCCGCGGCGGCCGCCGCCGCAGCCGCCACCGGGGCCGCCGCCGCCGGAGCGGCCCCGGCCGCGGCCCCGGGAGTCGCAGGACGGGCGGCGGGGACCGCGGCGCTCTCGGCGTCGGCGGGGCGGGCGGCGGGCGCGGGGCAGCGGCGGCAGCAGCAGCAGCAGCAGCGGGGGCCGCCGCCCCACGGCGGAGCCACGTCGGGGCGGGACGGCGCGGCGGCCGCCAGAGTCCCGGCGGTGCCCGGCGGCGGGCGGCAGGTACCCGCGGCGGGGCCGCGGGCCGGCGGCGTCTCTGCGGGCGGCCCTGCAAGAGCCCAGAGGCACCGCGGGCCGTCGGAGCGAGGGAGCGGGCGGCCGAGCCCCCGCCGCCTCGGGGAGCCGCGGCCGGCGCGGAGCAGCGGGGCTCGGCGGCCGGCGGGGAGACGCTGCGAGGACGGGGGGAGCCGGCAGCGTGTGTGCGAGGGAGAGGGAGGAGGGAGGGAGGGCGAAGCGGGGGGGCCGGGGACGAGTCTCACATGGCGGGGAAGCCGGGACGCTCCGAGGGGAGGAGAGAGCTCGGGGCTATCGCCTCCCTCCGCGCGCGGGGATGGGGGTGGCCCCTGGACCAGCTTCTTCCCCCCCTCCCGCCGCCGTGTCCTCGCCCGCCCCGCCGCTCCCCCCTCCCCTCGCGACGCCCGTCGAGGCGTCGCCCTGCCCTGCCCTGCCCGCCCCGCCGGGCCCGCTCTGTCCCGCGTCCCCCCGGCGGGGGTGGCACCGCTACCCCCGCCCGCTCTCAGACCTCGACGGGGCGGCTGCAGCTCCCCTGGGGAAAAGAGGGGCAGATCGCTGCTTCCTGACCCCCTTCCTCCTCCTCTCTACCTCCTGGCTCGGCCGTGGGAAATGGAATGGGGGCGCGGAGGGCGAGGGGCTGCAAAAAGCTTCAGCTGCCCGCTGTCCTCCCGGGGAGCTGGATACCTGGCTCCATCTCTCCTCTCTCTTCCCTCCAGTGCCCTAGGGCTGGCAGGGGCAGTGCCGCACTCTCTCCTGCCACCGTGCGTGCGTGTTTGCAAGCGGCCGCCGCGCCTCCTGGCTCCTGCTGCTGCTGCTGCTTCCAGACCCACTTTCTCGCCCCCTCGCTCTGTGTCGGGAGAGGTATGTGTCGGATGCTTTTATACTGCCCTGCCTCCCTCCCCTGCTGTCCTCTCCCCTTGCTCCCCCCCCTTTCCTTTCTCCCTTTCTGCAGCTCATGCTCCAGCCTAGCGTGTCCCCCCCCACACCCTGCTCCCCTCCTCCCTGTGCCGACCTGCCCCTCTGCAAGCCCTGCTTTGCCAGGACACCCCACTGCTGCACCCACACCCCTGTCCCACAGACAGCTGCACCTTGTGTCCCGACTGCCACCACTGCTCCCCTGGGACAGAGCTGCACTGAAGTGACACATCCCCTTCAGTGGTCTGTGTGTCCCTGGTAGGACTCAGGCCACTGGGGTTTGACATTCCTCACTCTTATTTCCCTTCCTCTTGCTTGCTGGCTACCTCAGTGCCAAGGAGAAAAAATTCTCTCTTAGATGGGAGGCCCCCAAATTTAAAAGTAACGTGGATTTGAAAATACGTGAAAGTCAGGCTTGGATTATCACTTGCTGTAAGTCAGTATCTTTGCATCCAGTCTGAGGGAACCAGACCTCTTTCTGAGTGCTCAAGATACAACTCAGTGTAACAAGAACAAATACAGCTCAAATCAGTTTGAAGCATAAATAAAGTCACCTATCAAAAGACGGGAGTTTTGGAATCTTTGCCGTCGTTCTTCACAATTGGGAAGGTTGTGTATGAGAATGAGGATACAAGCAATCATGGCCTGTGTGAGCGTGTCAGAGCTGGGAGGCTGAATTGGTACCAAAAGGTTCAAATGGGGAAAAAGTATTCCAAAACATTTTCAGCCTGAGACCAATGTACTCAACAGGGTTCCTGCAATGTGAGGGTGAGATGTTCTTCCAGCGTACGGTGCCAGCTGGGACTGAGGTGATCGTGGGAGCCTCAGCCCACAGTGTGCCCGACCTGGAAAGCTGGCACATTTGGGGCATGAGGAGAGTTAGAGCTCGTGGGAGGTTTCTTGCATGTTTTGGTGCATCTGAAGGCTGTGGTCATGAATGAGTTGGAATGATGTCCCATACCCTTCCAGTCAGATGGTTTTCCCTTCCAGTGATAACCACTGTCTGTGAATATGCAGGAATCAGGCAGGAATACGGTTAAAATAATTGCACTGGCGTATTGTTCAAGATGTGACCAAAAGCCACAAACCCCAAACCTTCAGATTTAAGGATTTCTAATCCACAAACATGTTCTGTGATAGCACTGCAGTAGGAACAGTCAGCTCAGGGGATCGTGCGGGGTAGGGACTTCCATAGGGCTGCCCTGAGCACGTCAGAGTGAGGTACAACCCCTCCATCTCATGAAATCACTCGTTAATAAATACCCAGTATCACACTGATACTCTTGGTTATGCAGCAAATCATCCAGACCTATTCCATATTACATAAAGCCATAACAGCCTGTGGGACTGTCATGTGGCTTTTAAAAAATGTGGTGCTTTTTTTTTTTTTTTTTTTAACCCAAACATTCCTTGGGCTAATCAAAATACTGAGAAGATAAAAACACTGATGTGCTTCAGCTGTCATCGCTCGGCCTGGGCTCTCCTCCTGCCACCATCGCTGTGATCCTGGTGCCAGGCATGGCAGCGAGCACAAAATGGGGTGGTTACGGAGGCAGTGAAGAGGCACAAGTGTCCCCCAGGTTTGCCAAAGCCTGACTGTACCTAGTGGCTGTCAGTGGATCCCGGCTGCTGAAGGAAAGTGGAAACTTGGCATGTGAGATCTGTATTTCAGAGCTTAATAGTACAAATCGACAGCCAGAGTGAGACTGAAGGCTCGTAATGCGAAACAGTCCGAGTGACAGCCTGGTGGAAAACACACACATGGATCTGCTGCCGAGCTCTGGGTAACGCAAGTTCTCCCTCGCCTTAGGAAACTGAACCAAGAGACATCTTTAATCCAGATGAGATGGGCCCGAGCTGGTGCGCATTTCCTCGTGGCACATTCGTGCATTAAGCTGTTGTGCAAAGCCAGAGAGGGGCAGAGCGATGCAGCCACTGGCATGGAGAAACTGAAGCCTCTTCCCACTGGAAGAAGTTGGTGTGAAAGTGGGGCTTGGGATAATGAATGCCTGCGTGGCTGTGCTGGGGGTGACTGGGCAGTGTGCACGCTGATGGGGGTGACTGCACAGTGTGCACACACGTGCACCAGAGATGCCCATTTAAATTCACGAACACTGTTAAATCAGCAGATGATTTCATCGGTGAATCCAGAAGGCTGAATCGCAACCTGGAGGGAAATGGGTTTAAAGGCAAAGGGGGAAGATCTCTTTTCCTGGCTGGGTGAACACTTGCTCCAGCAGCCACCATCTAGTCCCTGGAAAATGAAGTCAGGGTTCATCCGGGGAAGGAGATCCATCAGTAGCCTGAGTGGGATGCTGCTCCTGGGATATGGTTCTGGGCACTCAGCAGGGAGGTGGGTCTGACAGTGGTGCCGGAGTAAGGGAGGTGTGTTCCTTTGATAGCTCCTTCCCTGTGAAGGTACACAGCTCGCACCTCACTCCTCCACCTCCATCTTTTACCTTCCACTTCCCTTTGGTGATAAAGGCAGACTCAGCTCCTGTGCACTCACAGTTCCTCACCAGTGCCAGGGGAAACACACTGAGTCCAAGCTCTTCAAAACAGAGTTAGTCGCACACCTTTATGCAGCACCTGTGACACGATGAGTGTGGTACATGGTCAGGCAGTGCAGCTCAGCTGATGTGAGAGGAGTCAGTAAGCTGTGGTAGCTCACCTGGTGTCCTGCCTCTCCCCAAGCTTCCCAAGTTCTCATTGCACAGCTTCCAGAGGGGGTTGTGGCTGTCCATGTTGCAGCCTCTACCATGTGGGGAGGACTGTCTCACAGGGAGATGTTTCAGGGGTCTGTTGGCTCCAGTCATGACACTGCCAGATGAAAGTCCCCATAGTCTCCCCTACACCAGCCTGTTAACAAAAATGCCCAGCAGTTGTCCACAGCCACTGTGCCACCTTCAGTGTTCCAGGCCAGTGTTCCAGTGTCCAGGGCTGAATTTGTGATGTCCTGCTGGTGGTGTTCCTGTCTCCTGCCATGGCCATCGTGTCTGAACACCCCATGTGCTGTCCACCACGCTGCCCAGGGCCAACCCCTCTGCATCACTGGTGCAGGCACCTACACTTGGTGTTAAGAGTCCTGAAAAAACAGAATATTGCCTGAGACACAGCACATTACAGAGGCTGGGTGGTCCTAGTGACTGAAATGAACAGTAGATCGATTGTACCTGGTCAAGTGTGAAAAATCCTCACTTTGGATGAGTGCCACCAGGTGACAACCTTCCAGGCCAGCATGAGAATAGCTGGATAAGGAGTGGAGAGAGAAAAAAAAATCAGTATGATATAATATAAAACAACATAACTCACTCTATATGCTTTATGTCAGAAGTGAGGAGGACACAGAGGTAGGAGCACCACTGGGTTTTATGTCAGAGTATCACTTGGGTCCTATGCCCCAGCTTTCCCAGCAGTTAAAAAGTGCTTACCTGCTTGTCCACTTTACCCCTTTCCTGTCCATCCTGGCATTGCTCCAGGACTGTGGAGGCATCCTGTCTGTAAGATCTGACAGCTTTTCAGAGCAGCATTGCTGGTAGAGCCCCATCTGCCCTCCTCAGCCTGCGCCCACTCCCAGGATGCCGTCGTTTCATCTTTAAGCCTGGGGGTTGCTTTAAAATTATCAGGGATGAAAACCTGGCTCCACTGAAGTCCTTGGCAAAGCTCCCATTGACTTCAGAGGAGCCAGGATTTCACCCTAAGACGCTTTGTAGATTATTGGTGAATGGAAAGCATACGTCTGGCTTCTTGA